TCCATCCATCCATCCATCCATCCATCCATCCATCCATCCATCCATCCATCCATTCTCCACAGCTTATCCAGAGTCGCGTCACAGGGCAACAGCCGAAACGTAGATCAACTGATAAATTGAGAGCCACGCCTTTAAGCTCAGCTCTCTCTTCATCACGACGGACCGGTACAGCACCCGCATTACTGCAGACACCACACCGATCCGCCAAACATCTCACGCTCCCTACCCCCATTCACTCATCCCAGCCGCTTCGCACTCGGCTGCGAATCGCTCCAGAGAGAGCTGTAGGTCACGACTTGATGAAGCCAACAGGACCACATTATCTGCAAAAAGCAGAGATGCGATCCTAAGACCACCAAGACTGACACCCTCAACACCTCAGCTGCGCCTAGAACAGGATGTCCATAAAAGTTATGAACAGAACCGGAGACATAGGGCAACCTTGGCGGAGTACAACTCCCACCGGAAACGGATCCGACTTACTACCGGCAATGAGAACCAAGCTCTGACTCCGGTCGTACAGGGACCGAACAGCCCGTAACAAAGGGCCAGGTACCCCATACTCCCAGAGCCCCCCCCCAGTGAATACCCCGAGGGACACGGTCGAACGCCTTCTCCAAGTCCACAAAACACATGTGGACAGGTTGAGCGACCTCCCATGCACCCTCAAGGACCCCGCTGAGGGTATAGAGCTGGTCCAGCGTTCCACGGCCAGGACGAAAACCACACTGCTCCTCCTCAATCCGATATTCGACTATCCGATGGACCCTCATCTCCAGAACTGCTGAATAGACCTTCCCAGGGAGGCTTAAGAGTGTGATCCCCCTGTAGTTAGAACACATCCTTCGGTCCCCCTTTTTAAATAGGGGGACCACCACCCCAGTCTGCCAATCCAGCGGGACTGCCCCTAATGTCCACGTGATGTTGCAGAGTCGCGTTAGCCAATGCAGCCCCACAAGATCCAGAACCTTTAGGAACTCCAGCCGAATCTCATCCACCCCCGGAGCCTTGCCACCGCGGAGGTTTTTGAATAACTCAGTGACTTCAGCCCCAGATATTGGAGAGCCCAACTCCAGATCCTCAGGCTCTGCCCCTCCAATGGAAGACGCACCAGTGGGATTGAGGATGTCTTCGAAGTACTCCGCCCACCGACCCACAACGTCACGAGTTGAGGTCAACAGCACGCTATCCCCACTGTAAACAGTGTTGTTGGAGCACTGCTTCCTCCCCCCCGAGACGCCGGATGGTTGACCAGAATCGCCTCGAAGCCAGACAGAAGTCTTTTTCCATGGCCTTCCCAAACTCCTCCCACACCCCTCCCTGGGCTGCCACCTTATCGTGGTGGAGGGGTTTGAGTGTCCCAGTGATCCTAGGAGCTATGTTGTCCAGGGCTTCAAGCCCCTGGTAGGGTCACCCAAGGCAAACAGGTCCTAGGTGAGGGATCAGATGAAGCGCAGCCCACCGACCCCTTATGACGATCAACACCAATGGACACAATGTTCCCTCGACCGGACGCGGGTCATCGGGGCCCCACCGTGGAGCCAGGCCCAGAGGTGGGGCACGCTGGCAAGTGCCTGGTGGCCGGGCTTTAACCCATGGAGCCCGGCCGGGCTCAGCCCGAAGAGGTCACATGGGTCCCCCTTCCCATGGGCTCACGACCCATGGGAGGGGCCAAAGGGGTCGGGTGCAATGTGGAGCGGGTGGCAGCCGGTGTCAGGGACCTTGGTGAAACGATCCCCGGCTGCAGAAGCTGGCTCTAGGGATGTGGAATGTCACCTCTCTGGCTGGGAAGGAGTCTGAGTTGGTGTGCGAGGCGGAGAGATTCCGGCTGGACGTAGTCAGTCTCGCCTCGACGCACAGCTCTGGCTCTGGAACCAGCCTTCTTGAGAGGGGTTGGACGCTCTACTACTCTGGAGTTGCCCCTGGTGAGAGGCGCCGAGCAGGAGTGGGCATACTTGTTACACCCCCATCTCGGTGCCTGTACGTTGGGGTTTACCCCGTTGAATGAGAGGGTAGCATCCCTTCGCCTTCGGGTGGGGGGACGGGTGACTGTTGTGGGTGCTTATGTGCTTAACAGCAGTGCAGAGTACCCACCCTTTTTGGAGTCGTTGGAGGGGGTGCTGGAGGGTCCCCTCCCGGGGACTCCCTTGTTCTACTGGGGGACGCTCACGTGGGCAATGACTGAGACTTGGAGGGGCATGGTTGGGAGCAATGGCCCCCCCAGCTTGAGCCCAAGTGGTGTTTTGTCGTTGGACTTCTGTGCTCAGCACGGATTGTCCATAACGAACACCATGTTCAAGCATAAGAGTGTTCATATGTGCTCTTGGCACCAGGATACTCTAGGCCGCAGTTTAATGATCGACTTTGTTGTCGTTTCAGCTGAACGGCGGCCGTATGTCTTGGACACTCGGGTGAAGAGGGGCGCGGAGCTTTCCACTGACCACTACCTGGTGGTGAGTTGGCTGCGATGGTGGGGGAGGATGCCAGTGAGACCAGGGAGGTCCAAACGCAATGTGAGGGTCTGCTGGGAGCGCCTGAGTCCCCTGTTATGCAGAGCTTTAACTCCCACCTCCAGGAGAGATTCGAGCACGTGTCGGGGGAGGCGAGGGACGTTGAGTCCGAGTGGGCCGTGTTCCGCGCCTCCATTAATGACCCGGCCTCCCAGAACTGCGGTTGCAGGGCGGTCGGTGCCTGTCTGGGCGGCAACCCTCAAACCCGCTGGTGGACACCAGCGGTGAGGGATGCCGTCAGGCTGAAGAAAGAGTCCTATCGGGCCTTTTTGGCCTGTGGGACTCCAGAGGCAGCCGATGGGTATCAGCAGTCCAAGGCAGAGGCACGTCATATAGTATACAGATTATTTACAAATATGTGGTAAATTTCAGTTAAATTCGATCCCCTTCTTTCAAGTGCACTCATTCCCTAAATTTTTCAACTCGAAATTTTCTACACAAATCCAAACTGAACCACATAAGCCTACGTATACGGAAAAATGTATTCATTGTAACTTTTGCAAATCAGTGATTTTAGTTTACTGAATAACATTTACCTTTAACAGATATGCAATTAGTAAGTTCAAATGTATAATGTATAAATGGGAGTTTATCTTAATATATGTTTTGAAATCATTTAATCCTCTTGTATCCATGCAACACTGATACTAATTTAAGCATGACTTATACATTACTAAAAAAAAAGGGTATTCTGCATAATATGTGATTTATATATATATATATATATACATATTTACTTCATTATCATGAAACTAAATTATAAGTCACATTGTTTATGTATTGCAAATGTCCCAAATTGATTCGTTACTTCAGCATTTATATTTATTTTTTATCTATTGTAGGAGTGGCGGGCCTTAACTATTCATGCACTGAGTGAGATTAGTGAAATTGTTTCAGCAATGGTTTGAATAAAAAGACCAATAAAAGTTGTTCCCCATGAGTCTTACTTGTTCAACGCTACTCTTTTTAAGTTGCTTCCATTAAAGTGGTATCCATTACATTATTTAATTGTTGCATTGAAGTATGACACATTGCTCATGTGAAGCATTTTAAAGGCATTTCACGTAAAGAGATGTACCTGTTAACAGACATGAGCAGATGTATGGTTTTTGTTAATTAAGATTAATTTAATACTTTTTTATATCCCTTTATTTTTAAACTCAAATTGATTAATATATATATATATACAGTATATAGATATATCCTGCACAATTTCCAATGTCTATTCGATTGTTGATTTGATGTTTTACCTGTGGTTGGCCTCTCGTCTGTACTTTTTCATGGTTGATCCGTCCATGGTGGCTGGTAATTCGGCATAATCTTGCAGATGGTCGCTCCATGAAGTGTTCATCTTTCCACTGTCAAAATGATTTTAGCATTAAATCAAAATCAATATAAAATCTTCCGTCAACAGAATTGGTTTGGATGCGTGTATTTGTATTTGCAAAAACAGTACCTTGGTTTAGCTGTGGCATCCATCGAAGCAGACAAATCTAAACGAGACATACCGTAACAAAGCGTTCAAATCACATTTTTAAAAAGCGCACTAAATCACATGTTAAAAAAAACTTGCCAAAGTGCAATTAATCATGAATTAGCCATTTATACGGATCTCAAACAGATGGAGATTGTCGAATAACCGTATCGTACATATTCTATTGGCGATTTATCGTCAACAGGTTCTCACAGGAGCAGAAATATGGTTCACCTCTGTAAATTAAAGCTGCCCCATAAAAGCTGCGAAACTTATTATGATGCCTCTGCATCTCTTTGAGTGAACTTCCTATTCGGACTCAACCAAATCATATCACGAAAGTGCTCAGACTTATTTTCCGTAAGCAACTGTTTCAAGTTGTGAATAAATCTGCTTAACTTTCGGTAGGTTAGAATGACATAAAACGACCAGCTGCTTCGACCGGAATTAGAAATTACACAAAAGTATCAGTTTATAAACACAGATTAATGACAGTTAAATTAGGAGTTAAAGTCTTCATATGTCAAATTCTCAGAATACTTGGTTTGTTCCTTTGAATATGGGTTGTGCAATACTGGACTAAAAAGTGTTTTCATAAACGGTCTCGCGAGACATGACGATTATAGTTTCTGTCGTTTTAATTACTACACAAAATGGTTCACAGGTTCGTTATTTACATCAGAGTGTTTCGCTGTTTAACACAAACTACCTCGAATGAAGTCTGTGTTGTTGACTTGTGTTCGTCCGTTCCGCAACCCTTCTTCTTCTTGAGCTGTGAAACACGTTAAGACTTGAGTGCAGACTACCATCTGCTGCGCGGAAACACAAGTACAACAAGTCATTGGAATGAGAGTTGTCAGGCCTAATAATGTAAAGATAATAACCCTAAGTCATTATATAGTTTTCAGATAATATCAGGAATCTGGTAAATGTAGATAGATAGATAGATAGATAGATAGATAGATAGATAGATAGATAGATAGATAGATAGATAGATAGATAGATAGATAGATATAGGGAAATAAGTGCTTTTTATTGATATTTTGCTAAATAAAATACACTAGTTGACTTTTTTTTTTGCATAGGCAAAGTGTTTTATACATCTGGAGCTATAGGTGAAATAACCAGCTATAATCAGTGACTTTAACCCTATAATGCCAAATGTATCATATTTGATTCATACGGTTTCTGAAGTCTTTTGGATCTGAGACTTTTTGCATCATTCAGAGGTAAAAGCTTAGCTCAAACCCCTGTTGTACACATTCAGATAAACCTGATAACAGCCAGTAGAAGACTACACCAAAATATATTTCTGACTTATTGCACGCTAATTTGATCAAAATAATTTCTGTTTTTTTTTCTTCATATGTTGTTGAGGGGCCAAAGAAAGACTTCAGACTAAAAAAATCCAATATTCTTCCTATTTTTCTTGGATCGGGCTTTAAAGGGTTAAGGTACTTGTAGATGTTGAAAATCATAGTCTAAATATTCTTTAATTCTATCCAATATTTTTTTCTCAGAATGTACAAAGTCCCATTCACAATGTTTCCCCGTAATCTTTTCTGACCATTTTATTAAAAAATTTGAGTTTGCATTATTTGACTACTACTTTATCTTGGAATAAAGCAGGCATTGTTAAGAGATAACCAGTACCACATAGATAGGCAGTTTTAACTAACCCTTCATTTAAAAAAACTACCCTGGACAGCCTATATCAGATCTCTATTTTATTTATAAAGAAATTTGTTTTCTTCAGCTTTGTGACCATTTACAAAGAAAAAATCTGTCAGGGTTCAGACCACATAATAAATCAGAACTGGCATTGATGAAATTTAAGGATGTTCTCCTCTTAGCCTGTAATAGTGGACTTGTGTCCTTGCTTCTTGGATCTCAATGCTGCAATTGATATGACCGATCACAACATTCTATTACAGAGGCCAAAACATCTTATTTTGATTAAAAGGACTGTGTTGGCTTGGTTTAAATCATATTAATCTGATACATCCTAGTTTATTCATGAAGTGAAGAATTTTTCTCCCTCAGCAGAGTAAATTATGAGGTTCCTCATGGTTCGGTGCTTCACATTTATATAAAGTGTATTAGACCACATGTTCTCACTCCCAAGTCCTCACAAACGGAAGTTTGGTCTGGCTCCCTGTGCGTCTGGTATTGACGCATCGGGATGCCCCTTCTCGTCATTTATTGACTTGCAGGGTGCTCTCATACAATGATATAAAGCTCCCAGAACATTAGTCCATTTCATCTTTAATATCATTTTTTGAAAGCATGTTTTTAACCCTTCATTTAATTTTACCTCTGCTGTAGACGCAAATAATTCAACATGGAAGCGTTATTTAACCGTTAATGACGTCATCGTGACGTAATAGTTGAAAAATAACGCATTATTTTTATTTTAACGTAATAAAAAATACAACAAAGAATACAGTTGGTGGAGGCCGTTCCAATCCATCAATAATTATAGAAATAACTTCATCTTTAAGAAGAGGAAGGATGGATGCCACCCGCCAAAAGAATCCAAGAAGAAGAGGCTTACGTTACTGTATGCCTGGGATACACCCAGATGCTCTTTTTTTTTTTTTTTTAAACAGAAACATAAATAATTCAATATTGAATAAATACATTTTCTTCATTTTACCTTCGACTATGGGTGGCTTTTTCATTTTGTTTAAACAGAAATAACAATTATTTTAAATGGAAGCATTAAATCACGGTCAATGGCATCATTATCATCATTATTAGACTTAGTCTTCTTTATTGTCATTGTACAAAGCCACATAGAAAATTTGAACAAATTGAGAACGAAATGTCATTGCTTGGCTACTAGGTACAGCGAGGTCTGTATGTAGGTTAGGTCATAAATACTGTGGACAATTACAAATGAACCTAAACTATATAAATATAAACCCCAGTTCTCCTGTGGATATATAAATATAACTATAAATATAAATATCTGTGAAGATTCTCAGTGATCCAGGTCATGGTCAAGCTTGAAAAGTTCAGTTTAGGCAACTGGACGTGAAGTTTTTTCTAGAAGACGTTTCGCCTCTCATCCAAGAAGCTTCTTCAGTTCTAACCGATGGCGGGGAGCACTGGGATAAATATACTGTCGTTGTAACAGAAGAATTAGGGAAAAAAACTAAAGGTGGCTCTGGTCCCTGGAACAGGTCAAATGATGGGGGCAGTGTAGAGGTGATGTGTTCCTTAACCACCCTCTTGAAACACTTCATGATGGTGGATGCGAGTGCAATGGGGCGAATGTCGTTAAACCATGTGATGCAATGGGGCGAATGTCGTTAAACCATGTGATGCAATGGGGCGAATGTCGGTAAACCATGGGATGCAATGGGGCGAATGTCGTTAAACCATGTGATGCCATAGCTTGTTGCACGAACATGTTGAAGATGTCTGTGAGCACGTGGGCCAGCATGTTGAACAAATGTTGGTGGAAGTTTGGAAAAAGTCTTGATGTTGGGGTGGTTAAAGTCCCCAGCAACAATGAATATGCCCTCCGGTTGTGTGGACTGCACCTAACTGATGGCTTGGTAGAGAACACTATGGGCTTGTTTGGTGTTGGCACTGGGTGGAGTGTAGACAGCAGCAACGGTGACACTGGTGAATTCCTAGGGTAGATAGAACTCCAGCTTTTTAAAATGTAGAAATTGTTCTCTAATTTTGATCTCCAGGGTATACTCTTGCTGTTGCCACTTTGATTTCTTAAGTCCACCCAGGTATTTTTTATGATCTCGAAACACTGGTAATAGCTACCTTCTTGAATTGCATTTAAATCAAAACTTTGAAAGCTTCCCAGCTGAATGACCGATGTAACCCTAACCCTCAAATCGCTGTGATTATATCGTATCGTTTCTTTAAAGGCCAATAAAACTTGAATCAGCAAATCCAAAGTCCGCTCCACCTGTCTTTGTTGTGTAGTGCTGTGCAATACAAGTGAAGCTTCTGAAATCTAAACACTTTTTAACTTACTTTAATTTTTTTGCCACAAGTCCTTAAATGACCCACCCCAAATTCAGACCCTTCCTACCTTGCCAGACCCCCAATAAGGCAAAGAGAAAAAACTGCTCCTTTTGCTTTGAAAGCCTTTCCACTAAAAAACAAAAAAAACAAAATAAAACTGAGGGTAAAAGTTTAATCGTTGGACAGGGAGTGGGGCAAGCTGTTGTAAAAACAGAAACATTCACTGTATAATTGATTCAGCTTGGATTCCAGTAAGTAGAAATTCTAGTTTTTTCATTTAATCCCTTATTTTAGATGAACACAATGTAATTAACATAATGGTGTGAAATTTACTTTCCTCCTTTGAGTTGACCAATGTGTAATGGACTGTATGAAAATGTCGACATGTTAAGATACAATAGCATACATCATTTTGACAACATGAAACAATATTTTACCAATATATTACTAAAGATAAAAAAGCTTGTTCTAATAATATGCTGGGTGTATTTAATTTATGTAATTTGTCATGAACTTCAAGTGCGGAAACTTGAAGCAATAGGTTATGAGCCTATTTTATTCCTATGGATACAAGAGAACGTTTCCAACAAGTGGGTAGCAGATATAATTACCTACATAGAACCCACTACTATGTAGAGCAATTTTCTGGAGAAGATCGAGAGAGCCTATGAATTTCTCTTCTTCATGGGTGGTATAGATTATTACTCCTTATCAAAATGTTATAAGACCAGATGAAAAATGGCAAAAAGAAAAAATGGGGGTGAGACAAAAAAATCGGAGTAAGCATTTTATTGTGAACAATCCTTAAAGTAAAATATCATCAGCTGTTACGAGGTTTAGGTCCTATCTTAAAAGAACTCCCAAAAATAGAAGACATCCCTTGGGGGATGCCCCCTTCCCTTTCTCTGGGGGGGTCGGGTTCCCTTGGCATACCACAATTGGTAGGTTGGTGCGAGCCCCCAATGGCGAACTGGCTCCTTCAGGCCCTCTGATTCCTTTTCAGGTTACAGGTGACAATTTCCACGGTGTTTTTAGTTATTTCGAGTCATTTGGTACCAACCGCTGTTTTAGATTTTAATAAGACAGAGTTGCAATCAGTTTTCAATGAAGATCATCCAGGTTCAATGTTACGTTCAAGATACAAAATCCTACTTTGGCCACAACATTTGCTGTCAAAAAAGGTATGTCTGACTCCAGCTGTTCCATACTTCAGAAAACTATGATGTGCTGCACAGTTTTCCCCAACTGCTGCAGTCCTTTGTTCTTAGCAACAGAGAAGCTCCCATACCATACTGTGACACAGTTTGTCAGGATGCTTTTGATCACGCACTGGTAAAGGTTCACCAAGATGGCTGCAGACAGATGGTTTTGTTCAGCTTCCTCAGAAAGAAGAGGCACTAGTGAGCTTTTTTTAACAGGCTGGAGGTATTGGTGGTTCCCCAGGAACTTAAAGTTGGAGACTCACTTGATGACCATCCCATTGATCTGGATAGGATCATGCATGCATCTTCTCACCTTCCTAAAGTCCACATTGAGCTT